CGTACCTCGCTCTCTCGTGCGATCAATTAGAAAAATTTCAATCTCGTTGAATCTGGTTCTTCGCAAAATACGTTCATAATTCAAAGACGTACATTTACGTACTTAACGCGTTATCTCCGAACGTTCGATCACAACGAACGGCCGAAAGAAAACGTAAGAAATTTTAGATAGGACTTGTTGAATCGAATCGAGTTCTCTTGCAATCGTAAAGAGAGCTTCGGTACAAAAAAGCTTTTCGACAGCGCAGAGAGAGAAAAATAGAGAGAGAGAGAGAGAGAGAGAGAGAGAGAGAGAGAGAGAGAGAGAGAGAGAGAGAGAGAGAGAGAGAGAGAGAGAGAGAGAGAGAGAGAGAGAGAGAGAGAGAGAGAGAGAGAGAGAGAGAGAGAGAGAGAGAGAGAGAGAGAGAGAGAGAGAGAGAGAGAGAGAGAGAGAGAGAGAGAGAGAGAGAGAGAGAGAGAGAGAGAGAGAGAGAGAGAGAGAGAGAGAGAGAGAGAGAGAGAGAGAGAGAGAGAGAGAGAGAGAGAGAGAGAGAGAGAGAGAGAGAGAGAGAGAGAGAGAGAGAGAGAGAGAGAGAGAGAGAGAGAGAGAGAGAGAGAGAGAGAGAGAGAGAGAGAGAGAGAGAGAGAGAGAGAGAGAGAGAGAGAGAGAGAGAGAGAGAGAGAGAGAGAGAGAGAGAGAGAGAGAGAGAGAGAGAGAGAGAGAGAGAGAGAGAGAGAGAGAGAGAGAGAGAGAGAGAGAGAGAGTTACGTGTACATATATTAGCGAATCTCGGAAACTGCATAGAACGATATGGCATTGATTCTTCGATTTAATTACCTTATAATTACCGAGGTTTTCAACGACACAGGGTAAGCTGACGTCTCTCCCCAATGGCACCGTGACGTTCGGTATTGGCTCGGCAAACATTGGTCGATCGGAGAGAGCTGCACAGATAGAAAATTCCATTAATCGCTAGTTTCTTCCTCGTGTTAATTATTTGATGTTTCGAGGAGACGATTTCACAGATCGACCCTCGACATGGGTAAATTTATCGTCCGATACAATCATCGAGAATATTCATCTTGCTTTTTATAATAACACGGCGAAACGATATTTATTAGCTACTACGTTATTATCGCTTCTTATTATTCGCTTCTTATTATTATTCGCGTCGTTATCGCTTTTAATATTCATCGACGTGGTTCGTTTTACGTTGTAAACTATTGATACCTTGTCGAAATGAAAGATCAGAGGATGTTTTTCGAAACAGTTACATACGATGTCGGTGGAGATAGAAACGCATGGTAGGTGAGAAACAAGTTTCCAAAGAAGACGAAAAGGAAGAGGAAGAGGAAGAGGAAGAGGAAGAGGAAGCGGGTCACCGCGAGTCATACCAGTCAAGAAATCCGTTGGGAAAGTTTCAGAATTGGTCAAGGGTGAAGCAAGAGGGCAGTTGGTTGATCGTTCGAGTGGAAGAGGAAACCGTCGATTCTATCTCGAAGCGTATACAGAAGAAAGCGAGTCTCCAACTGGAAATTGTATAATATCACGTCGTGATAAATTATTTCGCTTACCGATATCTTATGTATCGTAAAATCCGTCAAATATTTTCCAACTGAACGTTTACTCTGCTGATGTAATCGTTACGCTATGTGACTGTCATGACATTCGCGACTATCATCAGCAACCTACGAATGTTCTTATAAAGTCATATCTTATATGACGTATTATATATGAGGTATTAGATTAGGCTGGATAAAACGATTGATTGTCCAATATTTTTCTAAATGATGTATATAATTAAGCCTAGTATTATAAATAAATATGGAATCTAGATATAAATCACTGTTAACGAGCTACATGTACCATCCTCGGCTTAAGTTATTAAGATATCGTAAGAAATTATTTATGAAGTTTATGAACTAGTTTATGCTAGAAAATCATGTTTATGCGATACTTTGTTAATCAGTTACGTGACAACGGGTTTGCCCATACATATGGATTATACCAGCACGATAAATCCGTGCAGGAAGACTTTTCGAGAGACTTTACAAAGTAGCAGCATCCTCTTAAACTCCGATTATGATTGATTTCGCAGCGTTTCGAGCGGCGTCAAAGAATAACGTCGCAGATACCATGATGATGGATCGGTCTGTGATTAATGAGAAGAATTAATCATAGCGTCGCTGTTCGATGTTGCGAGATTACCAACGCTGCCTTGCTTCTTGCGCATCTTCTAAACGATCGTTAGTTCTTCAAGGTTTTCAAATCTGTACCAACCGGTACAGCAGTCTCTTAGAAAATTTCCGGTTATTTGATTAGAAGAACGAGCTTCTGATTCTAATTATCGTTTCATATACCGTTTCGGAATCGCTTATAAAGAAAAAAGAAAAAAGAATTTATATTTTGATAGCTTGATACGACTCTGCCCTAAAAATTACATAAATTGTGTAACGCGTATGTGTTACGAACGTTCTGTGCCTATAGTAACTCCCGAAAAAAATCGATGTACAGAATACTCACTTATCGATATTCTTATCTTATCAATTTTATTCCTAACCGTCCTTATGCCACTCTTTCTAACTTGTTTGCATCATTTCGTTTTAGCACCGCTAAGTTGTAGCTTTAAAATTGTCGTGCTGCTCATGGTCAACCGATCCTTTTTCAACTCAACGTTCATATTCTCAATCGCTATTATTGTCATGGAACTGTGTATCATTCCGCGAAGCGTAATTTCGTAATCTAATCGTGTACAGTGCCTTTCTATCCGCGTCGTGGTAGTACCAATGTCGTATTTCGAACTTTTATTTTGAACAGAGCCACCTGATATTCTATTCAGGAATAGAGCTAGACACTATCCTTCGGTAATCATTGAGTTCCTCAATTAATCCTGCAGTGGTGAGACAATTTCACACAAAACATATACGAAGACAAATTTTCGAAGCATTGTACAAAAGTTTGTGCGTGAGTAATCTCGTCTCTTAATCTCGTCTTTGTAATACTAGAGTGATAAAATCCGGTAAAAGAGAGAAACGCTGGTGGAGCGTGAACTTGTCGGCAATTTATTTCGTTTCGTTCTATTTAGTACGTTCTATCCGTCTTTCGCGAAATTTGATGTGGATATTTGATAAACGGAAAGGAATCGCGGCCAGATGATCGTTAAGGAGAGTTGTCGCGGTAGAAGTTCCTTTCGTAAATCACGACATCGGACGCACGTGATTCTCCGTCTTCCTTGATACTGTCCCGATGGAAGTTGCGGTGTCGTTCAAGCACGATTGTGAGGGACTAAGTTTTACGATTGAGTTGATATAAGGAGCGAAGTTATACGCCGCTAAGTCGCTCCATTTCCTCGAGGAAAGCCTCTTAATCGAGCGATCCGCGTCACTCGCGAGCAAGCTGTACTATATAAGTTTCAATTTCGTCGGCGATATGTCGATAAAGTCTGTTCGTTCCGATAGCGAGCTCGATTTCAATCGTTTCAAATCGATTGTTGCCTCTTGTCTTGTTTTATATACGTTTCGTTCGCCCTCAATCTGATTTTCATTTACATTTTTCACTATAAATTAATCCTTTCAAGTTCGTCTTCTTATTCCTCTTTTCTAAGGTATCATAAATTTCAAGGGAACAAGGGAAACAATGTTTTAGGAAACGGAGTAGGTGGTTGGAACACGATCCACCAGTACTTTGCTATGACCTCCGTGATCCGTCGAGCGTTTCGCTTTCCCACAAGTAAACCTGTTACAGTTACAGTTCCATATGGATATGATACACAACGGTACTACATTATTTCATTATTTCATTATTTACTCCTGTCCAGCCTGGAACAAGCCATGTTGGGCTATACAGTAGGACCTCTAATAACGCGAGACATACGTTCTGTGTTATACGAATTTCGCGTTATACAAATCCAAGAGCGAAAAAAACTATAACTAAATAAATATATAGCCTTTTTTTTAATACGATAAAATAACATGCGTTCCGTAATAATAACTGTATCATAATACATACTGTAAACATACTTACGAGTGTTTATTGCAAAACTGTGCCTCGTATCAATTCAAACACGTACATGTTTTCATATCAGAAACGAGTCATTTTTATGATTATATTGTCAATATCTATACCTCTCTATACGTAGAACGATCCGATAACGGATACCACCGATAACGCAACGGTTCCATGATACGACCAACGATTATTAATCGGTTTAAAAAATAATAGAATGTCTCTATTCATCCATAGTTCCCCCACCGAGCACAGTCGATGCCTTCTTCGGGACTAGCATAGACATAACAGCGTGCACATCGCATTTGACCACCACCAACTCTAGACCAGTCGGCTTACAACTGCTGACACAGTCGGTAGTTGCGCGATTCGTGGTATTTCTATAGTGGTTGCTGTTGCTCTTGCATTTTACAACTATCTTGTATTCTCGATATTTTGCACGTTTGATTGCGCGAAGTCTCCATTTGATTTCATTCGATCGTTCGGTTTTCTTTTGATTGTTTAGTTCGTCTTAAAACGAAGTTTATCGGTGCAAGCTAAAAAAAAAAAAAAAAAAAAACCGGAAAAAAGGAAAAAA